GAAAGGACCTTTCCCACTGACCTTGTACAATGGGCAACCTTGAAGGCCCATGGGCAAATCCATACTGGGGTCAACAGGCATTTTGCCATTCCACGAGCTCAGACACTGCAGGAGATGTTCATCCACACCTGCTTTATAACGCCAAACCTTACAACCTAAACCTCAAGGTCCATAGAGAGCTACCAGAGATACAACATCTATAGATAGATGAAGTTCTACCTACCAGAGCTAGAACTTTCTCATAAGACTGAGGATCCATTGCAGCACCACCCCAAATAATAAGTAGGGCTCACCCAGTCAAGCCATATGTCTCCGAGAGCTCACAATGCTTTTCCGTGTGCTTTCCTACTCCTTCTATGCCTTCCTAGAGCAAGACCAACTTGTAGACACCCAACTCTTTCACTCCAGTATCACATTAAGGATCTGTCATCTCTAACCACCCCAAGCTTGCTCACATAATGCCAAATTAGGTCTGTGTTAGCAGCGTATGAGGAATCCAGGTTGGGACGGGGGGGAATCCATAGGATTGCCGCAGCTTGGCTCCCCACATAATGGCATGCTTTGCCCTCGAGCACCTTGCAAAAGGTGGTCGCATGGGTGTCAAGCAGGAAGCTAGTCCAAGTGAGGTTGGCTTGTGAGAACCCTGCTCATGTGTCCACTGTATAAGTGGACTTCTGCTTTTGCATGCCTGACTTGCAAGCGTTGTGCATTTTGCACAATGAAGGGCTCTGCCGGTGTCCCCAAGCGTTCCCAGACTCGATCTTGGCTTGGCTCACTTTCTGGCCAGGACTGAGCATAGAGAAAAAAGTCTTAGGTGCACATGAGAGACAGATTCCAGCCTGATCTTCACAGCCCTGGTCTGCAAGTTTACTGAAGTCATCAGAGCTTCCTTCAAACCAAAGCCAAAACTGAAACCCCACAGCTGGCAGGTCCTATCTTAGAAGAGGCAAAGCAGGGAATGACTTTTCGAAGGAAGAATTTGCTGCAATATGTACATGCATTGCCTAAAAGCAAAAGAATCAGCACTTTTCTTCTGAACACTAAATTTCTGAACATAAAATTTTTCTTCTGAACTTTTCTTCTGAACACTAAATTTCTGAACATAAAAATGCATGCAGACCTTAAACAAGAAAAACCCATACTGTCCATTTATTAAGGTTTCCTGAACTGGGTGGCATCACTGTGACCATTTCTCAGAAGTTAATTTGGACATAAATTGAGGTGGGGGAGTGAGGTTGAGTCTTTGCTGATGGCCCCCTTCTGAGCATCATTTGCCTTCATGACCCTCCTCACTGTTAGCTGGAAAAAGGTACTTTGCCATCGGCACTGTGCCCCCTAGAAACAGGCCGCGGTCCCATGGGGGACCATATGGCCCATGCCGGGAACCACTGTGCTGGTCAGCCTTCAAGGTGTTCAGGTGTCCATCTAGGCAGAGCCTAGACGCAACCACACACACATTTATGGGCAGGCCCCGACATGTGCAACCAGGGGTTCTCGTGTTCTAGGGGATTGCATCGCACACAGGCCAACATTTGAGTGCTTGGGTGGGTATGCAGGCAATCCTTTTGAACATGGGGATGTCGAAGACAGGACAGACCCCAGTCCCCCCCCCCCAATATGTTCTATCTCTAGCAAAGAGCATGTATGGACGTGGCCTCAATTACAAGTGCCTTCCCTGCAAAAGCCCCCTGAAGCTTTCACTGGTTTGAACCATTACAACTTCCCGATCTGCATATCAATGCAAGTTTTGCTTATATTATTTTCTGTTTAATGAGAAGAAACATTCCAGGAGAGGTTAGATTCCCATCTCACCCGTAGCGCATCCTTAACGAAGATCCTAAAGGATAAAAAGAGATGCCAGAAAAATATATGGCTTTGCACCAGACACCAAAAGCATTTCTATCGTTTTCTAGCCTCAAAGACATTGCAAATAGCAAGTAACTTGGAGATCGGTTCAGCGCAAACATCACTGGGTGACAATGCATGCACATTATCTTCTTTGGAGATCAAATACCTGTAAGGTGGGGGCATCCTACCTGAACCCAAGGTGGGCCACAAATGTCAGAACATAAATTGGCTTTTCTGGCCATCTGTCCTCTTGGGGAGGCAATAAACAGCATACTGTATGCCCTGTGTTGGAGCAATGATGTATATATAGACATATATTCCATTTAATGCAAATAAAAGGTGGTTTATTTGCAACTGGCTATCCAAGAGAGAATGAAGAACAAGATGGAAGCAGGAAGTGGGCAGGGCGGTTACAGATGGAGTGAAATTGGAATCCAGACCTCTGGATAGTCTTGGCGCATACAGTACCCCATATATATATATATATATATATATATATATATATATATATATATATATATTATATATATACACACATATGTATGAAACAATATTCCCCAAAAGACAAAAAGCAGGCAAATCCGCTTGCACAAATTTCACATGGGAAAGAAAGGTCACACCAGGGATCGCTCTGGCTTTTGGCTTCCAACACACATCGCTAACGGCAGTGCCCAAAGTAATTATCCACAAGGACGGCACTCGCATTAATTGGGATTATGGCTGAATGAGGAAAGAAAATGATAAAGACAGTGGTGATGGAAGTTCGAAGCAACAGATGCTCAAGACTGCCAAACTGGGAATGAAGAAGTTAAGCAGTTTGGCTGCTTCAATTTCACAGCGTGCGATGGGATGCCAACAACAACGAATGCAAGCCGTTGGAGCTGCAGCCTGGCACCAGCTTCTGTGGGCGATAACAAGAGCAAAGACAGCAACGAAAAGAAAAGCACAGCAGCCAAGCCGATGCACGTGCTGATTGGAGAAACTGGTAAGAGGCGGGTGGATGTGATAACAATTAATGAGGATGAGAGGCAGCTCCCAGGAGGCGAGCAAGTTCAAGGAGAAAGATCGAAGCCTGTTACGTGAGAGAGAAAGAGAAGGAAGGTGGGATGCACCCACAACGGTAGGAACATCAAGACCTTAAAATTGCAGCACTCGGCGTGTGTGTCTAGAGACAGCGTCTGCGTGGAGGAGAGGTAGGAAAGCACCGTTTCTGCAGCCACGACTGCCGTTGTGAGGTTTCCACCACAACTAGCTCTAAATAACAAGCTAGCCGAAAAATTAAGATATTCTTTATTCTGACTTGCAAACCCAGCTATTAGGATATCGGGGCCAATTGCTTGTTCTTGGGATGGTGTGAATGGAAACGTGCACATCTGTGGGACCAGTGTCAGTGAGAACCAACCCCCCGGGTGTCGGGCTTTGCCTCCATGGCATTGCCATGCTTGTTTTGGTGCTTTACTGTTACCCCCAGGAACCATTCATATATACGGGAGAAAGAAAGAAGGAGCACTCAATGGCCTGCTGAGATGGGGCTAAATCCATGTCCTGCTCTTGGTGACGCCACTAATCGACCTTCATCCTGTCCTCAGTAGCTCAACCCTAAGGTGAAGTATGACAAAATAATGGGAATGGGAATTATGTTATGGGGAAATGCTGACAAATGGATAGCGTGCATCCTATTGCTTGGAGTGGCTCATGCTTTCAAAGCTGCATCATTTGGATAGTGTAGCAGCCATATGGGAATGCTCCTCGGAAAAGTGCTTCTCACATAGCTCAAAGGATCACACAGTTGTGGCTTTTATAGAGGTTGGGCTGTTGGGAACTGCTCCAGAAAGATTACACCAGCCTTCTCCAACTTGGTACCCTCAGATATGTTGGACCATAGCAGCCATTAGCCCCAGCCTGCACAGTCAAGGATAACAGGAGTTGTAGTCCAGACATTTGGAGGGCCCCAAGTTGCTGAAGGTTGCCTTGATGTAAATTCTGTATCTTGGCAACAAACTACTTTTGGAAGCAAACAAATGCATCTTCAAGGAGCATGCCTGGTGAAATTTCCAAAGTTGTTTTTTAATGTAACTGTGATTAAGGGTAGGTGTGTGCTTGGTGCCATACTCACTGGGCCAGTGTGAAGGCCATTGCCCTCTTTACCTCTGCAAGAAATGGGCCCTTCACAAGGAGCAGTTTAGAGGAGGAGAATTACTGGGCTGCACAAAAGGAAGCCATGCACCTCTGATCCTGGTTCAGCATGGCTGACATTCAGTCTAGAAGGGCCCTAAGACAGGACATGCAAGTCCTCTAGTCTCAGCCGCACCATGCAGCCCAAGAGAGGGCTTGGGGTGTCCCCTGTGCTTTTAGAGAGGTGTAAGGCACTCTGCTTCTGATAAGGCTGGATTAATTGTACAGGACTCTTGTCACGTGGCACCCTGAAGCCAGGTATGGACCAGGACCAGGAAGTCTTCAGCCAATGCTCTGCAATCGCTATTGGGGTCTTATTCGTTTAAACTGGTGCGTCTCCCTGTCTTTTTAATGTCTAAGTTTAACTTTTGCTGACCACCCAGGGAGCCTTGGCTGTTGGGTGGCATAAAATGATAAATAAACAAAAAAGGAAATAAAAATGGAAGTGGCTTCATAAGGAGCTCAGCTGCCCGTCCATCCAGCCAGCCATCCAGCCAAACTCCTGAGTTAATAAGGGTGGACTGGCTGGGGCTTCCAAGAGTTGGGCAAAATCACCCTGTTCTACAAGGGACCGCTGAGGGGTTATAGGTAAAGGGATAACCAGCAGAATCATGAGGTCAACCAATTGCAAAACTAAGTGAGCAGCTTTGGGGGATGGAGAGACAGCTTTCATTGGGTCTTTACTGGAAGTCACACTGATCCTTGGTCAGTTAAGACACTGGCATTCTTTGATCCTCTCTTGATTCCCAAATCATATTTCTTGGCATTCAAAGACATTAAGGAGGGCCCCTGCTAATGACTGCCAGATGGTCAGGGCATTAAGGCCGAGAATAACAGTGGCGATGTATCTTTCCAAGGGCAAGAACCTTGCATGTGACTAGCTGCATAGGTTGCATCTTCAGAATAGAGCCACCCCAAGCCATTTATTGATCTAATCAGCAGTACAGTTACACAGCAAAATGCAGGAGCTGGCTTACCCCTGAGACAATAAGTTCTCCTCCCAAGTTCTGGACTTCTGCCTTCACCTTGCTACAGATATTAAGCTGGTGGCAGTACAGTGCAATACGCTGAAGGTACGCTAACAGGTCCTGCTTGCAGGCTGAATCAGGGCACTGTGAATAAAAAGGAGAGATCAGACACACACTTTGAGTTCATTGCTTTGTCTTGCTTACCCCTCATTTAACATCCAAGGAAGGATGAGCAGGTTGTGGGAACCACCTTGGAAGCACTTGTTTCGCTGGATCCTTTGGCTACTAACGTCACAAAGGTCTGTTCTTTCTCACAGCCCAAGAATGTGAGGATTCAAGTACAAAAGGCTCAGCAGATAAAAAAGACTTCCACCAGCACTGTTTGTCACTTACCTGATGAGCTGTAAAACAGACAGAGTCATTTCTTCATCCATTTCCTTGGGACATGGCTCAGTTTCCACTAAACATCGGGTTCTACTGATGCATAATGCCCGTTCTTTATGGCACAAGAAGGACCACATTGGAGGGAGAGGCTTTCCGGCTCGTAAACCATTAATAAGGATGAAATGGAGCCGTTTGGTCACATTGCGACCGGCAAAGAACAATTTTACTCCACTAGTGGAACACCACCTGTGGCAGTCTTCTGACACATCACACGGATCAAAGAGGCGGAGGGAAAATCTAATTTGGTCAAGCTCGGTCAGTGCTGGGAAGGTTTTCTAATAATGGCAGCAACTTGAGCTGTGATTTATGTGACTGCTGCAAAGGGGAGGGCCAGGCCAACAACCACTGCATAAGCAGAAAAGGGGAAGCACCTCTGTAACCAACAGCGTCATAAGAACAACGTGCAGCGTTACCATGAATACTTCTGCCGCAAGGATCCTGCTTCCATTAAATCAGTAACAGGAAGTCTGGCTAGCAAGCCCCATTCCCAAAAGTAGTGGAGGGTTTTTGCGGGGAGGGGGTTGACTCAGCCCCCAAAAAACTGTCAGCCAACTAAGTTGGGGTATTAAAAAAATAAATGATTACACTCAAAATCATTTAAATATCAGTTAATCTGTCTTCCAAACCCTGTTCTAGAATCCTAGCAACCTCAGGCATTGCTTGTTCACCAAATCACATTCTGCACCAAACTATCTTCTCTGCCGGTGAGCTACAGCCCTTCCCTTAGAGGTGCCCTGTTCTTGGCTGCAGCTCTAGGCTAGAATTCCAAAGATGAGGAAAGGTTTGGGGAGCCCTGGAGAATCCTGGAACTTGGCAGGAAGGAGAAGCAGAGATCAGGTGCAAATAAAGCCCTGGAAGGGATGTGAATATACAGGCTGTTGCCCTAACAATTACTGTGCTTACTTTGCTTTCTCCTAAATCAATAAAGCCAATCCTCTGACAATTCTCTGGGGTAGTTAAGTCTAATTTCTTTTACTAGGTACATGAGAATACCATGAAAGCGCTCTCTCTCTCTCTCTCTCTCTCTCTCTCTCTCTCTCTCTCTCTCTCTCTCTCTCTCACTGACCAACAGTTGTCACATCTTTTAAGTGTTAATCCCAAAGTGGCATTTCCCCATTTATTGGCCATTTAACACAGTCATATTTATTTGGCTCGGGGGAGGAGGGTTGTGTCTGAAAGAAACTTTAAAAGAAATTCCCTGGAGAGCTGACAAAGAGTTTCAGCAGAAGTACTTTGTGGCAAATTAAAATGTATAATCTCCCTCTCCTTAGAATAGTAATTAAAAATGCAATGGTCCATAAAAAGTTTACATTACATGGCGGACTCAAAACTTCCATAAAATCCCAAACTTCCATGTCTGAGACTCTAAAGAAGTGCAAATAAGTTTTGCTGATTAAAATAAATAAATACAATTGTGCTTCTGGTAGCCCATAATATTTGTGAGTAGTGACAGGTAAGCATCGCATGGATGGAGTTGAAATTGGCTCAAATTTTCTGCACTTGGTCAGCTTTGTCTTGGGTAAGTTCGGTTAACCCCCAGCAAAGCCCGTTGAAATTTCCCAATATTCGGGCACCTGGGAGCTCCCCAAAAGCATTTCCTTGATGCCTCCTCACTTTTAGGGGAGCTTGGTGTCCCACTTTACAGGGGCAGTCTTGCAAATGAAGAGCTGTCTGAGGAAAGCCCTTCACACAAAGGGATGATCTGCCTAAGTCCAGCTTGCCAATTAAAAGCCCCGCAAAGGAAGTGCTGCCAGGTCTGGAACTGCCCATCAGCAGCACCTGGACAGCCACCTGAGTAGGCATCCAGGTCACCTGTCCAGCTTCCCTTGTATTAGTGGCAGCCAGTGACTTCTTACAACAGCAAGACTCCTCCGTAGGACCTCTCCATGGTGCTGAACTCAGTCCTTAAATAGGCTCAGCCTATAAACTCAGGGATAGTTTCTGTAAAGTTCAAAATCAAAGCCCTGATGGGGAAGGAGCCCTGCTGCCATTGGGGTCACTGGCCTCCATGCCCATCAGAGCAGATGTTCGCTATCTCCATTGACATCGTAAGTGATACTTTAAATGGCTCCCTTTCCATATAAGCGAGGTAGGTGTTGTGCAAACGAGTGACACCCTTTTGTCCTTCCCCTTTTGCGGGATGCATGCCCTCTTCTTTTGTGGCTGCCCCAAGCCACTGTGATGGCACAGATTGCCCTGAAAGGGGGAAGCAGTGGCACCGAGAGCTGGTACGGAGGGCTCGCACCAGTGGTAGAGACTGCCTCTTTGAGAATTGTTGTGTTGTTGAACACAACCCCACATATCCTTTTCTTGCAAGGAGCTCAAGCTTGCTGGTAAGGTCAGTCTCCTCTCTGTTCTATCCTCCTATCAACAATAACGATCTTGCGAGGTAGGTTAAGTTGAGAGTTTGGGACTGGCCCAAAGTCACCCACTGAGCTTCTTGCCCAAATAGGGAGCAGAACCCAGATCTCCCAGCACCCTAACCACTGTGCCACACTGGTTCTGTGGTTAACCAAGAAGCATTGGCGATGTTATTGGGTGCTTTACAGGGAGACTTGAAAGATCCGAGTTTCCACTGCTGCAGAAACCCTCTCAGTCTTTTCTTCACAACAATATGCTTTGAAAACTAGGAGGACCAATGGTTAAGGGAGCCTCAACTGGGGATGGTTTGGGCTAATTTGATGTCTTTAAACTGGGTGATGCTCACTGTTGAAGGCCCCATAAATATATGTGAATAATAGATTTTCGCAAAAGAAAAGAAAAAAAGGTGGATCTCTCTCTTTGAGTAGTTCAGTGGCAAATCCCATTCATTCTGTTACTGAAAATAACTGGAAGACAAGTGCAACCACATGTTGCCTACCTTTTCTCTACATGAAGGATACAACCTCAGATGTATGACAGGAGCCTGTGTTCCTCAGCCTGGTCCATTGCAATGGCCGTGCCGACTGGCAATTATGGGGCGGCACCAGGCTGGGCTGCAAGGACTTCTGGGAATTGGCTCTGCTGGTCATATCCCTTTCAAGAGTCTGTATACAATTACCTGATCAGCCACGGCACGGGCTAATTTGTCCATTCTTGAACCAGCTTCTGCAATCTTCTTAGCAGCATTAATGACATCGGACGTATTTTTTAACGGTCCCTTCCCCCTGGAAAGCACAAGGTAATTAAGGTGCCGTCTAATAAAATCATAGGAATAAAACATTTCAGGGCAGCATCGCATGCATGCTTGGATGGAAGAAGTCCTATCACTCTCTGCTGGACGTCTTTCGTTCTAAAGAAGGGCAGCTCCCTTCTACTCTGAGCTGAGTTTTCCCTTTTCTCCTTTAAGAGCTAGAGCACGACTGCTTTCCCAACAAGAATCAACGTCACCATTAATAACTTATTATTGCATAGTTAACAATTTGGAGGAAGGAAGGTGGAAAAAAGGCCTTTTGGATTTTCACATATGCTCCGAAATGCTTTGCCAGCACTTTTCTTTGATTTTGCCTCCAAGCTCATGAACCTCATTTAATAGAATGTGCATTTTTAAGTGCTCATTAAGTGCCCATCTCTGCTGGAATGCGAAACTTTTTTTCCCAAGCACACCCTGTAGTTATTCCCCAAGTGGTGCTTACTGAAAAAGCTGCCAGATCAAATGTAAAAATAGGCAAACAGGGTTCAGAGGGGGGCAGAAGAAGCAGGAAGTAAGGTTGGCTGTCCCATCACCTATGTAGATATTCAAGACTATGATATGGGAGAAGTCTTGTATTTCCAGCTCCATTTTTTGAGATTACTTTTCAAACCACATCATAATTCCCAGAAGACTGTTATCAGCCAGGTAAAACAATGGCCCACACCCCTTGGGAGCTCATTTAAGTGATAATTGCTATTACAATGTTTACGGAAGGGGCTCTTCAGTAATGATCATGTGGAATTGGAAGTTAAGGCCAATCCCGTGCATGTTTAGCCAGAGCAGGTCCTACATTTCCCAGAATTCCCCAGCCAGCATGGTTGGCTGGAGCTTTCTGGTTGTTAGAGGACTCAAAATGTCTAACCATGCATAAATTGCATAACTAGCACCTTTGACTAGCAGGAAAAGCTTTTCTTTCATGGTCAGGCTATGCTATGCCATTTTCCCCCGACCCTGCCATTTTCCGTGCCAGAAAAACAAGAGAGTTCATTCCCAAGAGTGCTCACTTTCTCACACCTTTAGCAAGGTTACTGAGCATGTTGTCTGTGCTTTAAGGGAGACTACCTGAATTTTATTTACACATCCAGCTAAAAGAAAGATCTGTTTTTATCCAACATGATTGGGCTGTATCTGGGAAATGTACCACTTCATTTTGCAGCTTGCAGCTCGCGTGACTCTTCATCCAAACACAAAGCTATGATGTCTGGAAGAAGAGCTGTAGAGTAGGGCTGAAACTGTGGGGAAGCAGTCCTGCCTGGATTCTGCTAGCAAGTTTGGGACAGGTGGCACAACCCAGAAGAAGCCTTCTGGTCTTGATTGTACTCACACACAGTCTTCCCCACAGCACTATCCAGCTGCCCCTGCCTCAGTGCCCCGAATGGCACACTGGGGCTGGTAACTCCTTCATAGACAGGGGAGGCCTCATGCTTTCCTTGCCTGATTTTCCCCAAAGCAGCCTTCCTGGATCTGATTCCTTCCAGGTGTGTTGGACTGCAGTTCCCTTGCCTTCCAGCCAGCATGGTCAACTGCTGGGCTGGCTGAGAATAATGGAAATTGTAATACAATGTGTTTAGAGGGCACCGGGTTGTGGAAAACTTGCATATCCAGTATATTTTAGTACATTTCTTTCCTGCCTTCTTCCCATTATGAAACAGTGCATAGGGTTCCCTTGTGGTCCTCCACCAAGATCTGAAGAGCTTCAGCAAGATGGCTGTGTCATGTGCTGCCAGACCATACTAGAGTGGCATTGACAATGGCTTTTTTCTGATGGGGCTCAAAGCATTTGAAGGTGGGAAGCAGAGCCCTTTCTGAGCAAGTGACTCACCTGGATTCTGCTTGTACCAATATACACAGCACACCAAGTGGGGAAAAGCTTACCTGCTGGACCAGGTCAGGAGAGCAAGTGCTGGCAGCTCCTTCCAGGATGGGAAAGCTGTGAGTCCTCTCCTACCTCTCCTAAATCGCATTCCATCATCTCCTCCCTGAAATGCCCTTCCAGGTTTATTCTAAGCATTGTTTTCAACTGCACAAGAATCTGGCTACCCTCATTCCCAAAGCACCTCCCAATTCTGGTGAGCCCCTCCCAAAATCTCACTATTAAAAACAATAGAAAGACCATAGAATCATAGAATACTAGAGTTGGAAGGGGCCAATGTGTTGCAGGAAACCACATTATACCATCCCACTCAGATGGCTGTTCAGTTTCTTTTTGAATGTCTCTAGTGTGGGAGAGCCCACCACCTCTCCAAGCAGCTGGTACCACTGTCATACTGATCTGCCAGGAAACTTTTCCTGATGTTGTTGTTGTTGTTAGTCGCGAAGTCACATCCGACCCATCGCGACCCCATGGACAACATTCCTCCAGGCCTTCCTGTCCTCCACCAGCCCCCGGAGTCCACTCAAGCTCACACCAACTGCTTCAGTGACTCCATCCAGCCACCTCATCCTCTGCCCTCCCCTTCTTCTTTTGCCATCTATTGTTCCCAGAATTAGGCTCTTCTCCAGGGAGTCCTTCCTTCTGATTATTCCGTGTGCTGCACTCTGGCATCACCAAAAAGAGATCTCGACCTTCCGCTTTGTGACAGCCTTTGAGGCACTTATACAGGGATCTCATGTCCTCCCTCAGTCTTCTCTTCTCAAGGCTGAAAATGCCCAGTTCTCTCAGTCTTTCCTCACAGGGCAGTGTTTGCAAACCCTGGATCATTTTTGTTATTTTGTTACTATTCACAGAATAATAGAGTTCGGCATCACAAGATGAATGAGTTGAAGGGATCCAGTAAGGTCATCAAGTCCAGCTCACTCCTCCTAAGCCACTGGTTCCATTGCTCATATTCCCAACCATTGCAACATTCGTTTCCCCAACCACCCTCAACCTTCTCTTCTCCACTGCATGGTTTTTCTTACACCTGCACAAAACACGTCTAGCTGTACATGAGAATGAATCCTACCACCATCCCAGTATGTGGCCTGACTGTTTCAACCCAGAACCAGTTCTGCTGCTCCTACGGCCTCCTCATCCAGCAACCGCTGCCCTAGCAAGCGAAGCAGGACACATACGTACCTCGTGAAGTCTGTCATCTCCATCATGATCATGCACATTTGCTTGGCCAGGACTATGATATCATTGCCACTGTCATCCCACTTGGCCACTTCTGCATCCAGTTTGCTCTTTTCCTGGTGGAATATTTCCACTTGTTCTGCTATTTTAGCTTTCTCCTCCTGGGGAAGCTGAGCCATTATAGCCTGGATTAAAACAAACACATACAACACTTGCTTTTGTTTTCATTTTCAGATTAGCTCCTGTCAAGAGCAGGTGCTGCCAATGATCTTCCCACCACATCCACATGACTGGAAAAATAGTTCATAAGAGCTGAATCTTGCAAGGTGGAGAGCAGAGATTGTGAAAACATTTCTCCCTGCAATTCATAATATTTCAAGGATAAATCAACGGTTTCAGATATCCTGCAACTGATAAGTTTCACCTTCCGAGTTTGAGATATCAGGTGTACTAGAGAAATATCTAGATATAACTACAAGCACCAAAATTTCCATCAGTGTATTTCCATACAGAAAGAAATATGAATGGTCAGCTCTGCAGTATTAATATGTCCGTGTAGATACCCACAGAATCCAACTCACAGTGCTGGTTGTTCCATTTTCTCCTGAAAGCTTTCTTTAATCCTGCAATGCAACTGTGGTTGGAGGCCTTCAGCCTGAGCAAACAATCAGCAGAGAAGTGGAGATGCAGGATCAGATCTTCCCTTGATGGCCACTTATCAGCTCAGAAATTACTTCTCCATACAACTATGGTTAAACTATGGAACTTATACCAGAGGATGTAGCGATAGCAATGAAAGGGTTAAACATCCCCACCATGTGCCCTTCACAGGCTGAGGCCAACCCACAAAGGTGATCAGAACTCCTAGGGTGAGGGGGAACACGCACTGCCCATCACAGCTGGCTCTGCTCTGATGGGAATGCAACTTCAAAGCATCTTCAGAAGTTTCTCAATACAGATGGGGTTTTCCTTAGAGAATTCTTTCAGTAATTGTTTTAGCAATTATACAGTTCTAGGATACCATGTCTGGGATTGATCTTGTGAACAGCCGAGAGGAGTATGTCAGACCTCCAGAGGAGAATGGGCCAAAAAGGAAAGTTCATGTGTTGCCTTAGAAGAAGCTGGCTGGGTGGGTGATGAAGAGGGGTATCTTACTGGAGCAAATTTAGTGTGCGGACTCCTTGAGGTGCAATACCCAATTTCCACTGAGACCAAGTAAACCACAGGCAGTTCTTCATTACTCATCTTTACTCCTGAAGAAGGACCAGCCAAATTGAAGGTATGGCATAAGCTTGAGCAGTGGTTCCACAGTGCAAGTCAAGAAGAAATTAAGATGGCAAGAAACCAAGAACCGGCAGACATGTTTGGGAAGACAGATCTGGGTGCCCTGAAGATCTTTGAACTATCAAGGAAAACCTGTTGTCTCGGCAAATACTATTGGCCTGGTATTAAATGACTCTTACACCATATACTACATTTATACTACAAGAAGTGTCAAAAAAGACCCCATCACCGAGCAAGTTCAAGGCTGTGACTCCTGTGGAGTGGATCCACCTCAGATTTAGTCTTATTTTTCTTCTTCTGTCTCCAGCTTTCCCTATCAGGATTATCTTCTCCAGTGAGTCTTGCCTTTTCATGATATGTCCAGAGTATGATAGCCTCAGTTTTGTTATTTTTCCTTCAAGGGAAAGTTCAGGTTTGATTTGAATTTGGAATAAATTCTAGTTTACTTCAACATTTTCATGAAACCGGCAACAAAGTTGGAACAAGGAATAGAAAAATTACAGTAATTACTTGTGATGATCAAACTGGCACTTCCAACAATGATTTCTAGGCTGTGATACTCTTTGGCTCCGGGGTTCCGCCAAGCCGTGTGGCACATTTAATGGGGTGTGACACATATTTAAGTATCATTATATTTTTCTTGTTTATGTCACTTCCAATCAGCTGCACCCTCCCTGTACATACTCTTAAAATGCTCTTGGCGTTTAAAAAATTCATAATTGACCTTTTCCAAAACCGGAATTAAAAAAAGGTTATCAAGAAACAGGAGATCAGAAAAATGGGGAAATGTGCAAGTTAATCAAATTAGAATTCAATGCCTGTGTTTTAATTAGGTCTTATCAATGTAGCTCAGCAGTCTGAAATGTTAATGTGGAAAAAAGCTTCCTTACCTCCATATACACAAAGGCAAGTAAAGTGATTTCTCTTTCCTTCACATCTAAAAGAAAATCCCTGGCCCATTTTATGCATCTAACGCTCATCTGTACTTCCAAGAATGCATGTATTAATCTGTGCATATATGTTACTGATATATAGTCTTATTCACATCATGGTTATAACACCCTAACCTTGACCCAATGCATTTTTAAAAGAGGCCTGCATATTCAAATGTATTTATTTTTAACCGAGGATGGATTTGTGGTCATTAAAATGCTAACAGCTTCTGAGAAGTGGTGCAAGGGTCTCTTCCATTCCCCAACATTGCATTGGCAACGAAATTTTGTGGCCAGATACTGATACTAAGTCCAGTCTTGTCTGGCTCTAGGGGGCAGTGCTCATCTCCATTTCCTAGCCGAGGGAGCCAGCATTTGTCCGCAGACAGTCTCCGTGGTCATGTGGCCAGCATGACTAGACACCGAGGTGCACGGAACCCACTGAAGTGGCATCTTTTCCTCTACTTGCATTTGCAGGCTTTCGAACTGCAAGGCTGGCAGGAGCTGGGACGGAGCAACGGGAACTCACCCTGTTGTGCAGATTCGAACCGGTGACCTTTCGATCTACCAGCCCAGCAGCACAGCGGTTCAAACCACTGCGCCACTTGTGACTAAGCAGCAGGAGACAATTTGGCTACAGAAAATTGCAAAATGGATGCAAATATTCTTCATGCATACACATTTCAATATTCGGCTTTTCTTGGCACAAACATGGCGGGTGGGTGCTGGCAGTGGCTCCAGGGACACTACTGCATGCACCAAACCCTTGACTGGCAGTTGGAGATCAAGATGGACTACTCTAAGTAGCCTTAATGCTCTTATCAGGGGATATGCCATTCCAGTTGGTAATGGCATGTGGGAAAAAAAGGAAGAAGGAAAGCTCTGCGTGAGAAAAGGCTTTGCTGAAATTGTTGACGGACTCAGGGCTGGGAATAAGTGCCATTTCCAAGCAGTTTGTCATTCATAGAGTCATAGCATAGTAGGGTTGGAAGGGGCCGAGGGATGTGAGCAAAATGAGAGAGGAGGGAGCTACGCAGATGCAAGCAAGCTTGATTCTCAGTGGCTGAGGGCATTGGCCTGATGAAGCTTGGAGGAAAGCGTAGCCCGATCTTATATGTATTGCTAGGGTGTTTCTGATGGCCCAGCATGCATTGCAATAACACATATAGGAGGTGCTGGGGGGTGCTTGTCCATTCCCATGGAGAGATACTCTGGCCAGGCCACAGGTCCCCGTCATCTGAAGAAGCTCTGCACATATACGCCAGTACACATGGGGATTCCCTTCTTATACCCCAGGAAGTTTGGGAGGTAGCTGCTAGTCCTGTTAGGAGCAGTGCTAGCCTGCCCAGGGGGCATGGCTCCTCTGAAGCCTCCAAGATCCACCTCCAAAGGAAGCTTGGATGGTAAAGAGGAAGAGGGTCTTCTGTGTGGTGGCTTCCTGATGTGACAAATTAACTCTGTCATATTTTCAGCACCAGGTTAAAATTGCCCTCTTCACCCAGGCATTTGATGGAATTTAAGGACATTTATGTGGTATTTATGTCAGCTCTTTTGAGCAGGTCTAGTTTAGACTAAAATGGTTTTAGTTGTTCACTTTTTAAAAATGTTGTGCGTTCAGAAAAAAAAATGTTTTTATTGTATTTGTAGTCTGTGATTTAATGAATTGTTGTGACTTGCTTAGAGAACGTCAGCTGCTGCGTAGTATAGAAACGAAATCATCTTTGACATTTTGATCCACCTAATGACAACCACTGCAGCTACAAGATTTTAATGACATGTTGGGTCTATTCGGTATCCACTTCTACTTAGTGTACCAGTCAAACCCTGAATTAGTTGTTCCAATGTGCTATGAGCTGGACAATTTGGAATGAAAAATAGGAAATAGAATGATTACCAAAGCCCTGAGGATTTCCTGAACTGGGGCAGAAGCCTAGCATTAGACACACCATTTTTGTGTGAACCTCCACAAGTTACTGTTTCCTAATTCCATTCCCTATGTGTGAAATAGAATTCAGACAGTAACTTGTCTGAGTCTACACAGTTGTATGGAGTCTTTGGCCGATCAGTACAGCCATGACCTGAGGTAGGCTGCATGGAAGGCCCTCAGTCCTGCCATGAAGGCATGTTTTGTAGGAGGCATTTGGGGGTTTGACCAAGGATAGCCTTCCATCTTCTATGGGCTGACCTGCCCATATCCTGACTAAATCTAGAACCATGAGAAGGAAAACCTGGTCCTTGAAGCTGCTCATCCACTTCACTTGGATGGCAGAGTGAGCATGGCTCAGAGCTCTTGAACTATCCTTATCGAAATTATAACAATTGCCTCTATATTTGATCAGTACGTATAACTTCACAAATAAAAAGGACCTCTTTTGGGGGGTGCATTTCCTCTTTTTGGCCAACTCATAAGGCCCCATGTATTTCCTCCCAAAACAATAAGCTTGGTCATCATAAGCAAGAGTACTTCCGGTTCCATATATCCTTATTTCGGGAGAGTGCATTTCCACAATTTTTGGCCTAGAATTCCATTGGCTTCTTATCTCAGCCGTTGCAGACTACTTAGCAAAAGGTAAACCATTAATCCAAGGCTGGTAATACCCTGCAGGTACCACAAGCTCCACTTTCCCAGCATCCTCTGACTGCTGGGGTCACTCATCAGCCTAATTGGCAGTCTCCTTGCACAAGTCAAGGTCACCCATGACAGCATCTTCAGTTTATCATGAAACAATTATCCTACGAAAGTTGCCCTGATTCAGTAACAATTACTTTCAGTTGCAATTAGATTTGCAGAGACGATGCAGCACTTTAAAACCATTCACCAAGACAAATTAGCACACTGGAAGCCCTGACTAATGGAGAACCTCGTGGAGTACAGCACACAGTATATGCCTTCAGTGGGTCTTTTAAATAATTATTTCCTGCACACCCAGTGCGCACAGCTGCGGCACATTCCAAACAAACCTGGCATTCTATTGCAACGTTGCCTAAGCTGGGAGTTGGTGCAATTTCAGGGCAGTTTCAACTGTTACTCTTCTCTTCCATCGACCGCATTCTAAGTCAGAAAAAAACTCATGTGTCTCCGTGGCGCTGGACAATATGTGCATTTTGCTCAATGTGCAAATGCTGTCCGTAAACAAGAACATTGGGAACAACTGCAACTTTCCAGCACTGGAAATGGTGTTGAATACTGATGAACTACTGCTGTTTCCCCACCCCGCTTCTCATAAAAATAAGATGTTGAAATGAACAAAGAAGAGCCCAGGAAGCACAGCCAAGGAGTGTCGGAATGGAGGGCAAGTGAGCTCTCTTTTCCACCCTGCATGACAATTCAGTAATCAAAGCAGCTTCTTCAAACTTCTCTGAACAACAAAATTCATTGACTCCCTTGCTCAATCAAAAGTACCAATGAAACTGTAAATAAAAACTCTGGGCACCTCTAGGAAATGGCATAGCAGCTTCCTGTTGGGAATGTTACTTCATGGTCCATTAACAGGGTGACCAAGTGTCCTTTAGAGAGGGCAGTCCTCTTTTTCGTAGAGCTACCAGAGGACGGTCCAATGTTTGAAGCTATTCTTTAATTGGTGGGCTGCCAGTCCATTCAAAGAAGGGTCACAGGAGTGCTGAGTTGCCCCTGAGCACTAGGTCAGGGGGCTGAGCAAGAAGCTCCTGCTCACCAATGTGTCCATGGGGAGAGGCAGTGCTTTTCCATTTGAAATACAGTTACTGTTTATATTTTTTACATCTGGCACATGCAAATATTATGCACATTGGTGTCCTCTCATTTGGCGATTCAATTTGTCTTTTTTACACTGTGCAAGCCTTATCAGGTAGCGAGGGAATGAGAAGGGCATGTCCTGCTCCTACTTGGGTGTTCCATGGTGAATATCCAAGTTCCAAAACTCAGAGAGGGAGCAAAGAGGAAAGTTGAGGCAAATCACCTAGTTCTGGCAAAATGCAAGGTAGAGAAGGCAGGGACAACTGTGTGGACCAGACTGTGGCTTACAGCTGCGCTACCTTGGAAACCCAGTCCTGGCAGTGGGACTCACCGCTGCATTGAAAACCCCACCCGGCCCTTGTGAGTCTCAAGGACACTCTGGATGCAACTCAGCGAGCAGCTGTTGGCCTTATCTGTGCAAACAGCCAGCCTGTTGCGATGAGTGGGATGGTGGGGTTGGTGCGCTGCTTCTCCAACCATACCGCAGGTGTCAAAATACCAATAGGATTCTAGAGATGTGCAGAACCAGACCCTTTAAGAACATGAGAAGAGGCGTGCTAGACCAGACAAAGGTCCCTCTAGTTCCGCTGCAAAGCATCCACCTGTCCTTCTGCCTCAATTACTGGAAAATAAAGGCACATGGCCAATAATGGAGGTAGTGTGTGTGACTGTGTGTGTGTGTGTGTAAGCAGTCATTGATTTAATAAATTTCTTCCCCACATCTCACTACAAAATATAACCATTGACAGCCTTGTCCTTTTAGAAGGTCTCTAATCCGCCTGTAAATCTGCCCACATCTGCGGCTATCACTGCATCCGCGGATAGCCGGTGAAAAATTCAGTTCAGTTCATTTTTACTAGGATTTACCCCCTCTGCGCCTTTGGGACCAAACCAAGATTCAGACACAATCAGCTGCTGAAGCCTATACATTTTTAATCCTGCATCGCAGTTCATGGGCCCCCAAAAGTGCATTGAACGACATGAGCACACTCGAAATAACATGGCAGTCAGCTTGGAACTTCGTGTGCTAAGAAAAGATGGTCACAAAGTTCAAGTAAGCTTGAGTTGTCTTGGTTGCACACTCCTAACTGTGGCAGCAAATTCCATCGGTTGGCTTTGTGATACATGAGCAAGATCTTCTTTTTATCTGTCCTGAATCTCCCGCCATTCAGCTTCACAGGTTCTAGTATTATGTGAGAGAAGAATTCAACTTCTCCCTCTCCAGTTTTTCCACACCATGTATAACTTTGTACATCTCTATCATGTCTTTCCTTATTTACCTTTTTGCCCTAAACTATATAAGTCCAGACACCGGTTACTGGGCACAGAGAAGAGTCCAAACTCCCTGGTGCAGGTCAGAGGTCTGGCAAGCAGCACTGCCTCCACTCATTGAAAGCCCCATCCAAGTTCCAAAGCTCCAGGGTACAAAAACGGGATTCGCTGTCCGTGAAGAACAACAAGCCAGCGGAGTGTTCCATCCCTTGCCACAGTGCTCCTATTCATGCGCTGATTTCCATGTCGCTAAAAGTGGGGAGGACCTGATGCTAACGACCTACATGCAGCTCAATGTGTATTTGACCTTCAGCCAGCGTCCATACCCCGTACACTTTTCTGAACAACCATGAGATCTAGAAACCTGTTAACTTTCTCCCTTGCTTTTAATATGAAAGTTGGGATTCCTAGGACTCTTGATAGAGTTGCCAGACTTTTTTTTATTCCTGGTGTAAATCGCTGATCATGAGTGAAATGACCATCACAGAAGTCAGGGGCACGGAGGCCTTTTCAGTCCCAGACTGAATTCCAACTTGCAGAGGTTCTTGGGAGTTGCACTGTGGTGTTGGGCTGGCCAAAGGCAATGAATGGAGCAGGCCAAAATACCAAATCTAATCTGGGTTTTAATTGTATTTGTATTATGTTTATTTATTTATGTGAGCCGTCCCAAGGCGATAAGCGATGGGATGGCATACAAAATTTCTAAATAAATAAATACCAGCAAACTTGAGCCTAAAGCATACATTACCAGTAAGCAAGATTTAGGAAAGACATCTATTAGCACACAGATAAAACAGCACAAAACCATTTGGGGAACAAAGATTTAGTCTGGTACCCCAGGAGGGCCAAACTGGGGCCCAGATCTGAAGTGCTGCACCCCAATACAGCTCAGTGGAACTTTTCTGTTACAATAAACTTCCAAAGCAGGCTGAACACGAGTGTTAAAAATAATTACCAATACATGGCAATCCAAATGGAAGGTCTGCTCCCTGCCGTCACTTGAAGATTTATATTCTCTAAATCAGCTTGCAAAAGCACACCTTCAGCAATGGAATTTGAAACTGTGTTAATGCATTGCATGGATTTTAAACTCACCCTTGCACTCTGCCCAGCTATAAGCTGATCGTCTTCAGTCTGAACACTCGTCCGGCTGCGAACATCATAATCTTCCTGCTCAAAGTCGGAATCGTCCTCCAGCTCTTCAGGAGTCTAGGTTTTAAAATGAGAGTGAAAGGGAAGACAAGAAGAGGTGGCAGAATTACAAAGGATACAGAGAAACCCGAGTGGTCACTACATTCCTGTTTCATCAACTACCTGCCCAGAGAATGCTGTTTCTTCTTCGTTTTAAATTAACTTGTCTGCAAAGGCAGGCAGGACCCCAAATTGAATTGTCCAGGAAAAAATGAAGCTGTTTCAACTCTGCTCTTTTACAACTGGCATTCATCATCACCTCATTGTGATTTCTCTTAACTCGGTTAACCAGAAGGAATGTACATTTGGCAACTGAACACCCATTGGACACGTTGTCCCTTGGAATGTGATCACTCAACAACTGCATTTGGCCTCTGGGAAAGGAAGACCGATAACATGATGGTGCCAATCCAATTGTGAAATCCTTCCCGAGATTAAGAAAAGAAATATTTGAGAAAATGGAACCCCGAGCCAGGGCAACCCAATAGCCTGACAACCATAGCAGCGACAACACAACAGATGTTCCTCCAACTGAAATTTAAATTGGGCACATTCTGAAGTGCGTTTTCTTAATTCTCAAAAGTGCTGGATGATGGAATGAGCTTTGTAATGTGAAGTTTCAGAGAAGACGGCAATATCCCAGATCTATCTTTGCCAAGGAAATGAGAATCCTCGCCGCATTCTTATTCTCCTATCATAATCTCACTGCTCAGTTCCTCCCACCACCAAAGCCTTTTAGGGTCTCTGGGTGGAGACGGTTTCTCTCATAAAGGAACAGATGGTTTGTGGAATGGCATTTACTGTGGTGTCTATCTGTCTACATACGCTTGTGTAAAATAAAGTCAAGCTACAGGATCTGAGGGGCAAACACACAAACCGAGAAAGCTCTCTGCAAAGGGGGAAGTGGGATTTGATCAGCAAGGTCAGCATCTGCCTCTTTTCAGAATGCACCAGAGGACAAATAGGCCCCCATCCTCCAATGGGGGGCTGTGCTTTGCTGTTCTTGCTGCTTTCCATTAACTCCCACATGAAATGAGTGAGAAGTCTGTGCACGTAAGAAGTCAGTCATGGGAACCTTATCCTAACGACAGTGGAAAGGCATCATCTTATGTGAAAGCCACTCCTGCTTCACTTCCCGGTATGTAGGCAGGCTGTGCCGATGTTCTCCGATGGTCCGATGGGGGCTAGGGGAGAGCAACAGTTTGCAAGGTTCAAAGCAACCTTGAACATTTGTGAGCCACCCCGAAATGCAAGTGATTGGACGGGCTAGAAATATCCTACATAAACAAATAAAAACCATGACTCTCTGGGCTGTGCAATGTTTCTCCATCTTCTAATGACTTGTCCATCTTCTGTGGATGCAACAGACATCAGAGGTCAGTAGCAGAGAGTAGTCAGTAGCCCTCCATCCAGCATCCCGGCTGTAACCGAACAAGAATAATTGATAATGGAAGATGGAAGCATCAGCTCTCAGTTCTCCACAGCTTATTATGGAGAATAATTATGATGGCATATTATTCTTATTAATTTAATTTAATTTCTATGCTGCCCAGCAGCCAAAACTCTCAGGACAGCTTATCAGTTGATTCAACTGATGACAATATTTAGTATAGGTGAGAAGAGACTGGGCTAAAAATCAAGGTCTCCTCAGTTCAATCATGCTTTTGCCATGAATTTATCAGACAGACTTCATAGGGGCCATAAGATTGGCCTACCTTACAAGGCTGTTGGAAAGATGGCAAGATATGAACTGAAGTTCCCTGAAAGGCCAAAAATATTCATACATGCTTGTGTTTATTCTCATCCTTGTTGGGTGATTCTTTAAGTCATTTTCTTGGATTTAGAATGAGCTGCAACTCCACCCCACCCCACCCCACGTTAACATCAGGGTCCTGCATGGAGTGGTAAGATGTTCTCCCACTCGGAGTGAGGGCAGGGAGCATTACCCCAGGTGAGGCGGCATTGGTTGTGATGCACCTGAATCCAGTCATCTATGCAACAGCATCCTATGTGATCCCTGATTGGCTGGATCATGAACACTCTACCTATGTGATCCCTGATTGGCTGGATCATGTAGACAGCAAGAAAGCCCTGTCTTCATTGTCGTTGTTACTGTTGTGCATCACAGCAGATTACCAATGGGGGCAATTGTTCAAGAAAATTTTGGGGGAGAGGGGTAAGCATTTTTTTAAAGACCAGAAGTGGTTGCTTATGAAAATTCACTTCTGCCTTGTTTCATTTGTTAAAACCTAGGAGAGACTTTTCTTGCTGTCTGTTCTCATGCTGCATGGCCTGTCCCATTTAATAAGGACATTTGGAGAGGACCATGTGGTGTGAGTATGGCACACCCTCATTAGCATTTTGCTGGCTTGCTTATGGGGTGGAAGACAGGACATGTGGCTCAGATCCTGGGCCGGTGTGTGGTATTTTAGTGGCACCAACATTTTCGACTAAGATGCAGAACCAGAATAAAGAGTGAAGCAAAAGCATTCCCATCAGACTAAAGAAGAAAGTTAGCTAACAACAGATCATCTGATGACCAGCAATGCTGTTAACCCAACGAAGTGAACCTGACCTTGAAAAAGAGCATAAATATTAGGCCTTATTGCCCAGTCAATTCCAACCTAGTAGGTACTCATTCCCTGCGCATCGGGGATGAATGCCTACAATTCTTTACCTGGCATTACCGAAGTCTCAGATTCAAGATGCTCAATGGACTCAGGTCTTGAGGGCATGTGAGAAAAGTGAGTTCTGCATTCAGCACAACCCATACCTTTCGTTGCTCAGCTTTAGTCCCACTTGCAGTTGGATACACCTGGAGCAGTCAAGCTTGTGGCTGCTCCCGCTCCTTCACCTCATCAGCACGACTCTCCTATGCACCAGTCGCAACATGGGAGCTTCTCACCTGTGGATGCTCCCCACAGCTCTCCAGTTGAAAATAGAGGAGAAAACAGAGGAGAGGCAAGGTGGCAAGGGCTGAACCAGGGTAGCACCCCTGGGCAGCTCAGAGGCTGATGCTGGAATGGTTCTTTCTGAATGATGCTGCCCCTCCTTCCCCACATCATGGGGGCACTGTGGGAAGCAGATACCATGAGACCATGATCAGGAGGTTAACTGGCCCTAAGACACCTGATGCCTCCAGAAGTCTCCTGACCAGGCTGGAGAAGACATTGCCACGATGGCATTCCCATTCTATGCTGCCGTTCAAATAGGTTGTGCTCTCCAAGTTTCAGTGATTAAATAAGAGAGAGAGAAAATAAGGTAGGTGGTAGGGGAGACATCCAGCAGCCTGCCTTTCCATCCACATGAAAAATGAGAAAAAAGATGGCGGGAGGGGAAAGGCATGCTCTGTCTGTTGTCCGCCTGGGTGTTGCCCACTGAGTTTCATTCCGATAATTCACTCAGAGGAAACACCATCAGCGATCGTGGCAAAACTCTATGTACTGGGCTGCCAAAAATGGTAGGGGTTTAGCCTGTTACTTTCTGTTTCAATTCCAGCCAGCAAAACTGTCTGGCCAAATAGACGTTATTAAAAATATTTCTCCTCATCCTACTATGCAAGGAAGGAAAATAATTCCTACATTCCCCTCATAGTGCAGAGATGTAACATTTCCTTGCACTTCTGGTTTACTTCCACGTGGTTGGTAAAATACAGAACAACAGAAATGAAGTGTCTTTACTTTCGTTTGTTAAGGCTGAGAGGGAGGACCCCCCCCCCCGTTAGCTTAAAGAACAGGTTTTATTTTCTAAGAGCATGTGACAAACCTCTCCGATAATTTCTTTGTTCCCTGATGTGCTCCTTGAACAATTAGTGAGGGGCAATGAAAGCTGCTGACAGACAACTTGATGAGATTACAAGTCATTTTAATGTTCATATTTTCAGAACAGATTTAAAGAGGCACAACAAGAGAAGCGAATGTGGGACTTGCTGAGCCTGAACAAATGGTTCAGAAATTATAGTTTTAAACAGAGATCCGAGCATCAATTTAGATACTGTAGTACGTGCCTCATTCTCTCCAGCTGAGTACAGCACTCTGAAGTGTAAAAAGAAAGCTGAACTATATTTCCCCTAAGATGACATGAATAAAGATGGGAGATATTTTTGTTCATTTCACAATTTAATGGAACTTACCCAGTTTGGCACTTTTGAACCTGTAGGTGAATGGAAGTACAGTTGTCCTTTGGAATTTCTAATGCTCTGAATTTTGCAAGCATCTCTCCAGTTAAAAGAGGTGTACAAAAATGTGCGTATTAGGGCAACAGGCACTCAAACTATGCATATGCTTGTGAGAAGAATATTATGAAAAATTGCTTTGGAAAATAGTGTATCTTCATCAGCTTAGCAACACAAAATGCACATATCAGGAGATGTGTGGGGAAAATGTGCTGAATTTTCACGCATGATTTAAAAAGACACCTCAAAGTTTAGAATGAAAGACATCTGGTGTTTTCCTTCATGCAAGGCTCCAAACAGGAAAGTCTTCATGCAGCCGATGGTCTGAACAAGCTGCAAGGGTTTTGGCCAGGGCTACCCTCCTTTACCCTGTGCAATTTATCTAGATGCCCCATGTTGGCTGCCCAGAGCAAGGGCAAGGGAGGATGCTGGGATGCACGTGGGGTTTGCCGCAGGGAGAGGGTCCCAGACCCCTTGCAGCCCCCACCCATCATGCCCCGTGCTCCAGTCTGTGCTCTTGGAGAGGCAGCTGGTGCGATTCCTTCGCTGTTCGTTCTGAGTGGGCAGTGGAGGGACTCACTGGGCCTTCAGAGTCCCCGCACTGAGGTCATCCAACCTGGCGCAGGGATACCAACCCCCAGTTCCCTTCCCTGCCGAGGTCAAACGCCAACTCTTTCTATCTAAGAGCTTCTATAGATCAGGATAAACTGGACTTCAGCGCTGCAAGCTAAGAAACGGAGAGAATCTGCAATGGGCAGATTCATCCATTACTAGAAACAATTTTCTTTCACTTCTAAGTTCCGTCTTTAACAAGTGGGCAAGGACAACATTGAAATGCTACAGGCAAATGGTTCCCTCAATGATTCTGCTGTTTGGTTTATTAAGATGGAAGAAGGGAATACCTGATGAAATCAAATCAAACGGTTACTCAACACTGAAATGGCAGTTTCCTTACCTGAATAAACACTGAAAATGATTCCTTTGGAGGTTCAGTGAAGCAGGTAGTTAATTTATTTATTCATTTAGATATTAAGAACACCTACCCCATGCCCCAAGCTGCATGTGTACGTTAAATAGACACAAATGGTTCTAATCTTTATTGCACAATTGAACTGTAGTAAAACCTGATATTCCGATGCTCTGGGGAATATGCGACATCTCTGTAAATGACAGCTGTGTGCAAAGGAAAGGGTTTGTGTATGTTTAGTTTTCAAAAGCAGAGCAGTATTAAAACACTGGTTGGAACTAAAGTGTGGACTTTTTCCAGCCATTCTTCAGACTGCTGGCTAGTTATCCAATATGCTGTTGGATCAACATGCAAACAAAAATAAAGAGACCCACCTTCACCCACCAAGATTTAGAATTCGTCGGGTATGGGGCACCCACACAGCTTTATTTGCAGAAATCTAGCATGATAGATCCAAAGTCAAAGCAAATATAGCTAGAAATGGTCAGGATATTTGGTACCCCTGCTTATAGATTCGAGGGGAACCATTTGTTGCCAATTCATGAATTAATTAATTTATGCATTATATTTATATCCTGATTATTTTTCCTACCAGGAAGTCAGGGCAGCTGATGCAACACCCCTTTCCCTTTTTGTTTCACAACAAGCCTGTGAGGTAGGCTGTGCTGAGACTCTGTGACTGGCCCAGGGTCACCCAATGGCCTTCGCGGCTGAGTGGAGACTAAAACCGGGGTATTCCAAGCCCAAGACTGACCTTTTGATACATAATTGATCTAACTATCAAAGCATGAGAAGGGGGCCAGAGTAAGCATTACAGTTTGTGCCTACCATTCATAAGTAGATCATACCCAGGCACTGGTTCTTGATTGCAAGGATGGAAAATGCTTGACTGGATTTGCGGAATACCTTCCTATCCATAAAGTAATCTCTTAAGAATTCCTCCTCCTCCTCTTCCTCCTTCTAAATCATTTCAAGAGCAATCCCTTGCGGAATTAGGGGTAGGGAGTTTGCCTGCAGAGTGACTGACACAAGCTGCTCTTCAGCTCTCGTGGCAGGTGGAGCGGGTGACTCCCACAGAGAAAGGAGGCCTGTGGTGGCAGCATGTCCAATCAGCTTCCTCTCCCAGCTGATTCCAGATGGCGGCTCTAACACGAGGCTTCCCAGTGCAGGAACACGGGTGCCCCGGCACATTCTCGGTTCAGTCCTCCTCAGGACAAAGGGAGCGGGATTTAATAACACGGCCCTGGGCTTCGTGGCTCGGAAGTACTGCTGGCTGCACGTCAGGATAAAGGAGCAGGAGCTGTGGCCTCTGAATAGATGGGGGGAAACGTGGAACGCCAGGCGGCCTGGGTCAGTGTTGGTTCCAGTTCTTCGAGGGCCTTTGGACACGGCACCCCGAACGGCTCTCCCCGCTCACTCCCTTTCCCATCGTCTTTGTCCTCTTTTTCAGCATGGCCACCGCTTGGTTGCCTGACCGACGGGGACACGGCGAGAAAGCAAGCCGTGGCTCCGGCAACCTGCCACCCCCGTTGCCCAGGCCAGAGTGCGAGGAGGGTGGAGGAACATCTGGTACAAAGAAGGAACAAGTCCACACCCACATCTGGATTTTGGGGACAGTGGAATGCTTGTGAGGTTTTGCTGGTCTGGGGTGTGGCCTTTTAGGGGTGCTCATCCATGCCTACCCCACGTTAGCCTTCTGCAGGAGATATCCCATGCAAGTCAAAGGGAAACCAGGCTACCTCGCAGAGTTGTTGTGAGGCTAGAACAGAGGGTGATTATGTAAGCCACTTCATTTATCTATTTATTTTCCTATTTGAAACATTTTACCCGGTCTTTACCTGAAAGGACTCTTAAGATGGCTCACAAATCAATAACAGCATGTTAAAAATATGAAAAAATAAAATTCCAATTTAAAACCCACCAATCCTTAAAGTACTGGGTAAATAAAAAGGGCTTGGCCTGGAGCTGAAAATAATAAAGGGCTGGTGCCGAGCACTTCTCCCTGGGAAGCAAATTCCAAAACGTGAGTGACCAGCCCGGAAAAGGCCCTTCTCCAGGTAGCCAGTCTTCTAACCTCCTTCAAGAGGGGCTTCCAAAGATTAACATAAAGTTCAGGCAGGAGTATATAAAAGGTGACACTCCTTCAAATGCCCAGGCCCTAGACCATTTACTTTGCGTACCTTGCAGGAAACAGATGGGGAGTAACAACAACGGCGATGATATTAAACAGAGAGGAAACTGAAACAGAAAATGTCTCTTGCATGGCATAATAATGTCCTGGGTGCAAGTGGGTGGAGTTGGAGGCTGGGCCAGAGAAGCTCTAGCATGGTATGCACGTCTGTTGACCTTGTGCGGGCTGAAAGCCAGGACTGCAGTCTTTACACCAATGGTGCCCAGTCCAGAGGGCCATCCTGCCTGCCATTCGCAGGTACTGATGCTCCACCCCTCCCATGCTTGAAGCAGGCCATGTGGTCCAACCACACACCCTCCCAGGTTCTCCGTGGAACTGAGATTCCCAGTTTAAGGGTCAGGGTCCTTTTTATTCCCTCTCATCTCATTATTATTATTATTATTATTATTATTATTATTATTATTATTATCATCATCATCATCATCATCATCATCTCTAGGTTTGTACTACGATGAAACAGTGTCCCAATGAAAGCAAGTAAAGCCTAAACAAGATGAGCTCGGACACCCAAACATGATGTACCCTGGCTGTTTTTCTTTTCTTTTTTTGAAGTCCTAAACATCTCCGAGATGACAAAACAGAGCAAATGCCAAACTGCTCTTGCATCCCCCGTCCTTCGTCCTTCCCCTCCAGGCCAAAACTTTCATTTCTCTGGGTGCCTTACATACCCTTATCATCAGAACAGCTTTCCTGATGTCACGAACTCCATCATAAACCAGGCGGGAGGCATCTATGAATTCATTCTCTTCAAACGGTTGTGGGACGTTGGCACTCAGTGCTTCAATGGCAACTTCAACTTGTTCGGCAAAACGTGGCATAACTAGATTAAACCAAATGAAAGGCAGTGAGAATGTTGTCCCCTTTTCATGTCACTTCCCCCGCCTCCCTTGTCCTTGGGCATAAATGCGTTCCAGCCAGTCTGGAACAAGCTGCTATCATTATATCAGGATATGGAGAACTTTGGCATACAGCTTCACACCAGCAGGATAAATATGCAATTCCCTGAGGGCAGAAAAACCCTAACCTTGTTCTATTCCCTTCAGAGATGTTGATTCTTTGTCCACAGGAAAGAATTTTGTTGCAGCCAGATGGCTGTGAGCACTGAGCCCGAAATTCTTCTTCTAAACTTGCCTCGGTTACATACTCACTACATGGCCCTGTGTGAGACCATACTCACATTGCCTGTTTCCAGTTAGATAGTTTTCTCTTCAATCCCTTCCAGTTCAAAGAAGAGAAATAGACAGGGGAAAAAATATTCCAAGCGAATGCCTAGTTAGGAAGGTGGTGCCGACATGAGAGATTTGGATTCTAGGACCACTCCCTGGACTGCTGGCGAGGGATGCATTCCACCTTGCAAGTACTGGAAAGAATGTGTTTGGTCACATCTTTAAGAGGTTTATCAGGAGAACTTTAAGCTGAATCCAGCAGGAGAGGGAGAAGCACTCCTGGTTGTAACAACAGACGAAGGCTGAGTGACCACAATGGAGAGACTGCTCCAAAAACAGCCCAATAATAGCCTTCCAAAAAATGTAGGAAGAAGGCACATGGTCTTTGATGCCTGGAGTATGGGAAACAAACAGTATGAACTTGAACTCTTCATGTAGGAGGGTGAACACGACCTGACAGGTATAACTGGACCTTGGTGGGCTTCCATGGCTGAGGTTCAACAACCGAAGGATATAACCTGTTCAAGAAGAACAGGAGGAACAGAAAGGGAGGCGGAGTTGCACTACATGTTAAAGAGACACATCTTGGCACAGAAATATAGGAGGAATAGCTTAGTAGCTCCAACAAGAGCATCTGGATTAATATAAGTGGAGCAAGGAATAAAAGGAGCACAGTGGTTGGAGTCTATTACCAGCCTCCCAGTCAAGGAGAAGACGAGGATGAAACTTTTGAACGGCTAATAGCGAGTGCTCCAAGGAGGCAGGATGCTGTCATTACGGGGGACTTCAATTTCCCCGATATATGTTGGGAGACAAATCCTGCCAAAAGAGATTCTGAACACACGTTGCTGATAACTTCCTCCAACAGAAAGTGGAGGAAGGAACGAGAGCAATGGCTATCCTTGACTTGATACTAACCAACAGGATGCATATTGTCTCTTGTATCATAGACAGTATGCCTATGTGTAGCAGTTGCTGTGGCACATGGGTGGGGGCTGAAGTTGCAGCTATGTTTTACCATGTAGAGTTGGGGGACTTCATTTATTTCCCCCCACCCTGTCATCCCAATCTAGTGCAGTTGTGCATTGACAAATTAAGATACACTTGGTTTACAGTAAGTGTTGTGACTCGTAGCCATCCAGATATTTTGGCTAACTCCCAGTGAAGACCATATGCGCCAATGTCAGTGAGGTGCCATAGCCACTCCGGGTTTCAGCTTGAACTTTTAAGGAGTTGTGCTTTGTGCTGAAGCTAAAATAGATTTATCACCATAGCTAGCACTTGAAAACTGACATCAGAAGCAATACCTTGAGTAGATTACATCAACCCAACAGCACTGGAACCACCAGCCACTGCTGCCTACAACTCCCATCAACCCTCATAATTGGATCTCTTGGCAAGGGCTGATGGAAGTTGTAGGCTAGAACATCTTTAATTGTCCATCTCAGCTTTACAGTAACTTCCTCTCATCACTAGTCTCAAAGGCCAGTCTGCAAACTGTTGGACTGAAGGGTAAAGCCTTCCAGATAAAAAGTTCTTCCAATGGAGCACTTGCAACTCTCATTTTATCCATTAATGACTGCACACCATAAATGTTTAGCCACTCATCTGCTTGACTGACGTTCTGCCTTCTTTTAGAATTGGGTTGCAAGCCATCTTGCTGATCCCCTAGGATCCCAGGAAGAAGAAAAGGTTGAATTCATGGGGCACTGCAGCTTCACTTGTGGCCAAAGGGGCTACCAACTCTTCTGCTGTCTTTTAACTTGCCAGCCCTCTTCTAGCTTTTTGGTCAAACAATATTTTAGCAATGTTTAATATTTATAAGTTTTAATTGTGCAGCCCAGTGTATTTCCGGGTTTTAAATGTATCTGTATTGTATTTATTTGTTTCTGTGAGCCGTCCCAAGGCTATATAGCAAGGAGACGGCATATAAAAACTTTAAATAAATAAATAAATAGCTTGCTGAGAATGAATAAGATGGCTCTTTCTTACAGTGCTAAAACCTGACACACAAGAATGGAGTTAAGTGCACAGGAGAGCAGCCAGTTCCTAAATTCCAGCAGCGTGTACAGCATGAAGGATGCTAATGACTATACATGAGCAATTCCCAGAATTAATGGCTGGGACATGCATACATACTTTATGAATAGATGCATAGCAGGCAATATATAGGCCTTTCTATGGCTTTTGTAACCAGCAGAAAACTGAAACAGAAATTAAAGAAACCCAAACAAAAAACAAAAACCACACCACCCTTAGAAGACTGCTTTGCATGGAAATGCTAATTGCTCTGAAGAAGCCTTTTGAAATGGAAATAGTTTGCTCAGCACTTAAGGGTATGCCTGGCTGATGCTTAGCATCTGTGTGCTGTCAAGGGGGGGACCTAAAACTGCAGCCAATGCTGGCAACTCTTCTGTGGCTCATGCTCGGAGGTGGAATCCCAACTCAAGACATCCCTGAACTCAGCCATGAACTCAGAAAGAAATCTTAGGCAAGACACAGTATCTCAGCCTCAGTTTTTCTGTTCCCTCTTCAATATGGAGGGGTTGGCCTAGCGCACATTTTCATTAAATGCATACAGCCTTCATTCATAACCTTCTCCGTGGGGATCAGGCATGGGGACAAGCAAATCAGTAAAAGCGGAATCATTGAATTCCATCTTGGAAGTCCTTCTGAGCTGAGTGGGAATCAGATGCTGAGCGTTGCTTTTGCCATTTCTCATGAAAAATGTGCATTTCCATGCATGTTTCCACGAACGCATGCATTGATAGCACGCACTTCTAAATGTACTTCCGGAATCTATGCAAGTTGTTGGATGCTTTGGTCTGCTTGGCCCATGAATCAGACTAAACATTTGGAAATGTATGGACTTTGGATGGCAAGTTCAGTCCAGAAGATGTGGACTGGGTACAATCCTGATCAAATACTGGCCTCAAGCCAATCAGGGAATGCCTCCTTGCACCACTGCAGCCACTAGTTAGAAGAGAGAACTGTGGACCAGTCCATGATCTTTCTGGTTTGGAAAGTCAAGTGATACAGGAGAGCCAGGCCAGGTGCTAGTGGAGGGCTATGAAGAATCAGTTCTTCCTTTCTTTTAGGGTGGTCAGGTATCCTACCTGAGAGAACACAAGCCTAGTTGGGGATGTCCTCTAACTGAAGAGTTGTCCAGTCCAAGTCTGATCAGAAGAAGAACCAGAAGGAGGGAGAGAAGACAGGGGACTTGATGTTGCCCAGCTGCAGCGGGCAAAACTTGGACGGCAACCCAGGCAGTGTCCAGGTCACTTTGTCAGCCTCCTTTATGGTGGTAAGGTGCATTTCCATTTTGATGGAAGTTACAATGGCCAAATTTGATGCATAGACATAACGCACATGTTATGCAGATTGCCGTCTCCTTTTTATTTAATTTGGTGATGCAGCACCATAATCTTGCTACATTAGGCTTGATCTCTCAGACAGCCCGCCTGCCTTTGAGGAACTTGTGCTTCTTTTACATATACCTTTATTCCCAAATGATCATATGCCTTGAGCTAGCCAAGGGAGAAATTTAAATAAGATTTTTTAAAGACAGGGAGTACAGCAAAAGAAAAAAAAGTGTTCTGATTTAACACTAATTAAAGCAGAGTGGAGAAGAGAGTTCGATCAGTGACAAATGTGATCCCATTTCTGAGATGCCTCCAGGACCACAAAAGTCCTGTTGCGTTATTCTTTCGGCTTCTCTCCCCCTACAAAATTGAAGTCATGCAGGATGTGAGAAGGTGGAATGAAAAGTAAAAATAAAAACCTCCACTCGAGGAATGAGAAGGATGCTACCATCATGACTTACACACCTGGCTGGTACTGAAGCAGCCTGCATACTTTACCTTTTTACCCTCTTAAGAGCCCATTAGCAAATGCTTTTCAAAAGACCAATGAGATGAGATTATGGTGCTAAGAAGGTTGGAATGGATGATACATATTTGCTTTATGTGTGAGGGGTGTATAGGAACATTCTTTTTATTTAAACACAAAAGGAAACAAGGGAGTGTCACTCAGGAAAAGCTGCTTTTTTATCTTTAGAAGACTGAAGCAGCACAACTCTGACCTCTCTCCCTTTGGATTTCTGAGGTTTATGCACAATTGGAGAAGCTCACTTTGCTCAAAGCTTGACTGGAAACACCCTGATATGAAGTGGTATGCTCTGAGCATGACTTGATGGAGTGATGCCTGTTACAGGAAATAATCTATCTGAGTAAATTTAATTCCGCCGGCCTTCTCTCTATGACAGACTCTATAATTTTTTGGTACATCTTTCCAAGCAGCATTTCATATTCAATATGCACAACCTGCCATTTTGGAAAAGGGCAAAACAGGTAAAATTAAAAAAAAAAAAAAAACCCTGCCAAAGGCACCTCCAATGTGTATCTGCACCGGACCATTGTTCTGGATGCTTGAAACTGGAATGGGCAAATGGTTTTGCATTGTTTGCTCCTTCCCTGATAGAAAAATACTGAATTTTATTTAGCATACTTGTATGCCACTTATGCACAGAGAGCCATATCCACACTGCAGGTGGTGCAGTGGCTTAAACCACTGTGCTGGTTGATAGAAAGGTCGCTGGTTCGAATCTGCACAACGGGGTGAGTTCCCGTTGCTCCGTCCCAGCTCCTGCCAACCT